AACTTTTCCAGCATCGTACGCCATACCTGTATAAAACTGTAATGAAGTTCGGAAGCGTCAACACATATGATTCAATAACAGAAGTTTTTTGTAGGCAAGTAACATTTATTGAAAGACAAACGCTGAAAAGTCAAACGAGGTTCGAGTCGACGAAAATCCGTTTGATGTGTTCTCCACGTATGGTAATGAGAAATAAGCGTCTACTAAGGTCATCCTTTTCATAAGTCCCAGGAGGTGGATATTCGATGCAACTACCCATTACGATATTAGCTTCGCCGTCGGTACACAGCAAAGAACCGGTAAATGTCCTCCCATCAACTATTTCCACTGAAACAGACGACCCCATTAACTTTGTTAAAAATTCGCGTGAATTATTGGAAGGGTCAGAAGTCATCTCTTCTGGGCTCCTTGAGGCAAGCTTATGGTTTGACATTCCGCCGCGTTGCAATAATAATCATGCCTCTTTGTCTTTACCCTCGAAATTATACCCCAGTAAAAGTAATTACCAGGTCCGAATTTCAGTTGATATTTTTAGCACTACTTTGGATTTTTCTGTATCCTTTTTTCCATTTTTACCCTCGTCCATATAAAGTTTCTTAGTTCCCTTCTTGTCAATTAGTAGCCTGCTTTATAGCCGATCTCTGCTAGTATTTGTGCAACACACTGTCCGCAGGTACGACACTGCATCCTTCGCTGGCAATAATCTTATTATCTATGTGAATAATTTAACTATCCAAATATTTTCCAAAAGTTTCAAAAATATAGCAAAAGTGTTCAGTTTATTCGTGCAATTTCGGACTTGTTAAAAAACTTTATTATTATAATATTGATGATAATAATAAGTATTATATTGTCTAGCGTCTAGAAGACACTGTTATACTTCATTGTTTCAAAGATACGGAAGGTATATCAAATAGATAGGGGAATAGCGGCTCCTCGGTTGATGTTAGTTCTGACATACTATTGGCACGGATTATAACGTTGTCATGTCGTAACGGGTGTACGACGATCATTGCAACGAATCTCAACGTCATTCAAATGAAAGCAGCCTCACACCGGTGTGCAGCTTTATATACATTGGGGCACAACTCCTAGAAATACCAGGCTTGTCGGTGAAATCCCGAAATGGATCTGCAAAATTAACTTGGATTTTAGCAGTCTAAAGCATGCCTTAGGAGTCTGCACTGATTGGAACTGTGACGACATCCTTTTCAACAAAACACTGGAGATTTAAGAAGCAGGTTCCTTGGCAACACTTCATGGGATGCGGAGGGGCATTTTAGTGAAGGTTAGTAAAATGATCCAAACCAAGGATTATTGAAGGCAAAGTGGTGTGAAAGGATCCCAGATATTGGGATCCTAAAGAGAACCCATACCCTCGGTGGTCCCATCACGATGGGGCAGATAAATCATTGATAGAGCTATCACGCTATTGTGATGAACGACGAGGGCCTCCACAAGCAGCTTCGCTAGGGCAACTTAGCAACGGGTTGCGTAAGGTGCGGCGGACAAAGGCATCACCACGACAATAACTTAACGACCTCACTCAAACGCCTTCTGATCTGCTCGGAAATCTGACAGGAATTCGCATAAGATCTGCAGGCATAGACAATCATCACATAGGCTAGAGCTGCCACTGTTGAAGGTGACCGACTAGCCGCTTCTGAGGTAAAACAGGGACCGTGAGACTTGAACCCAGAGACAAATTACACCGGCTTCTAAAATTCTTCATCGTTTTCGCAACAGCAATTGTCCTTGCTGGCACGGATAGGCTGCATTAGACATAAGCTGATTAAATGCGATTCCAGTGTAAACGAACAGTTTTTTAGGTTTAAACTTCCGTTGCTACAAACAGCAGTTCTTAGGAGCTGAATTTTGTTGAAAGCCGATGGTCGACAATACGATAGTTCCCAAGTCAAAAGTGAGGGAAAACAGGTGTATTGGACAAGCTTCAATAATGCAACAGTACAGTCAGGTCAGCAATAAACTGCAAAAAGCATTCTCTGCAGGCACATGTACCGGTATCTATAGTTTAGCTTATCAGTCCCAAGACGTGTTGCCGCGGTTAGCCGATGTGATTTATGCCGGCCTGAAGGCAGCTTTGATTGGTTTCGACCTCTCGATACACTGGAGCCTGGTCGAGGATTTGTCTGTCAGTCTATTTGAGGAAAACATAGGTACGCCTTTGAACTTCCTAATTTTCACATTAAAAGCACAAGAACTGGGATCTACATAAAGAAATGACAGCCAATGAATGCACACAGGATAAAATTTGACGCTGGCATTTTAAGGTTAATTATTCGCATAGCCCACGTTATACTGCAGCATACAGATGTCTTGAGAATGCCCCCATGCCAAAAATGAGTTGTCAGATATACAGACGCCTTTTTGAGTCGCCATGGTCTGCTATGAGGGCGGGTACATGGAGCATAGATATCAATCTCTCCTCAGATCTGATTGGTCCATGTCACCAACAATTTCTCATCAACCGGAGCAAAAAATATACACAGCTCTTTTATGAGGACGGCTTGCTGCTTGTAAATGAAACGTGCTCGTGGCCGATTGTCGTATTTCTACTCCCGTGCTGGCCTTGGGAATAACCGCCAGGCAAGTCTACAGTTGGTGTTAATAAGAAGTACCAGGCATGGGTCATAATAGT